CAGAAGCTGTGAATCAAAGGCATAGTTTAAAAATTAAAAATATCCAGTTCAGGGCTGATGAAATGGCTCAAGTGGTAGAATACCTGCCTAGCAAGTATGAGTCCCTGAGTTCAAACCCCTGTTCCACCAAAAAAAAAGAAAGAAAAAATCCAGTTCAATATATTAACGCTTCAGTCATCATTCAAAGGTGAGACTTTTTCTCCCTCTTTCTCCCAGTTGAGCTTGTTGGTGACCTTTGTAAATTCTGCATCTTGTTTTAGAGGCTCCATCTGGTATGCAGCAGCCTTTATAGAAATCCCCATTTTATCATCTTGTTTTAGTTGGGTTTCTCTTTAGTGGACCAAGAATAATTTGCTGGACTTTTAAAAGATGACTTTAGAATTTATACATTTCTGCTGTTCTCCACATTTCTTAAGCTGTTCTCCACATTTAAGCTGTTCTCCACATTTCTTAAGTTTTTTGAGACTGTACTTCTGAAACTCCCAAGAAGCGTACTGTTTATTCCTAAATTTTAGCTAAGAATGAAAGACATTAACCAAAGTGGGACAAGCTTAAGGGAAGAATGTTTCTTTTCATCGTAAAGTGATATTACCACTTTATAGAAAGTTTGGAAAATAGAGCCAGCCACTGTTAGCGTTTCAGTTAATTTTCTTCATCTTTTCCATTACATTTATGTTCTTGTTTTAAAGTAGTTGATTTTGTTATTATAAAATTAGTGCATGTTTATCAAAGAAACTTCTGAAATGTAGAAAAGCACTAGGAAGAAATAAAATGGCATTTATTGACATTTGGGTATTTATTCTGTTTTTTTCCAGTGCAAAAATGAATAGCCAAATAAGTAAGTAAAAATAAACTTACTACACTCAAATATTGCTTTGTAACTTGGTTTTATTTCACAAACAAAATCTTTTTATTTTTATTTTTATTTTATTTTTTTCACTTTTCTTTTATTATTCATATGTGCATACAAGGACTGGTTCATTTCTCCCCACTGCCCCCACCCCCTCCCTTACCACCCACTCCGCCCCCTCCCGCCCCCCCCCAATACCCAGCAGAAACTATTTTGCCCTTATTTCTAATTTTGTTGTAGAGAGAGTATAAGCAATAATAGGAAGGAACAAGGGTTTTTGCTGGTTGAGATAAGGATAGCTATACAGGGAGTTGACTCACATTGATTTCCTGTGCGTGGGTGTTACCTTCTAGGTTAATTCTTTTTGATCTAACCTTTTCTCTAGTACCTGTTCCCCTTTTCCTATTGGCCTCAGTTGCTTTAAGGTATCTGCTTTAGTTTCTCTGCGTTAAGGGCAACAAATGCTAGCTAGTTTTTTAGGTGTCTTAGCTATCCTCATCCCTCCCTTGTGTGCTCTCGCTTTTATCATGTGCTCATAGTCCAATCCCCTTGTTGTGTTTGCCCTTGATCTAATGTCCACATATGAGGGAGAACATAACGATTTTTGGTTTTTTGAGCCAGGCTAACCTCACTCAGAATGATGTTCTCCAATTCCATCCATTTACCAGCGAATGATAACATTTCGTTCTTCTTCATGGCTGCATAAAATTCCATTGTGTATAGATACCACATTTTCTTAATCCATTCGTCAGTGGTGGGGCATCTTGGCTGTTTCCATAACTTGGCTATTGTGAATAGTGCCGCAATAAACATGGATGTAAACAAAATCTTTTTAAATGTAACCATAATGACTGTGGGGTTTCTTTTTTTAATATTCTGCTTTTCTCCTTTATAAGTATTTCCCTAGTAGTGCCTATATTGCAGAATTAGGCTTATTTCCTCCCCTGATTTTTTTTTCTATTATAGTAACTCTAAAAACATCTTGATTTTCAGATATTTCTGGAAGTGAAAGAAGGTTAAATAAAGTACACTTATAACTTTTGGAACGTGGTGACAAATTCCAACCCCAAAGGGTGGCACTAATTTAAAACTTCACTAGCAGCGTGAGGAAGAAAAGATTAATTTACTTAAGTTACTACATTTAATTTTTACAGCTACCCATGAGATTAGGTATTATTCTTTGCCCCCTGACAAACAAGTATATCAAGACTCAGAAAATAATTTGAGATCATGTAGCCAGTATGTGGGAGAGTTGAGATTGACCCAGAATTGCTGGCTTCCAGGGCCTGTACTCTTGCCACATTATGGTGTCGTCCCTTAAATGGAAAAATGGCCTAAATAAAGGGATATAAATTTAGTTCCTTTAATAGAAAATGACAATGGCAATATAACTTGTAAGCCTTACGACAAATATCTGTGAAGAGTATCATGATCTAGGAAGGCGCTCTACCCCTTGAGCCACTCTGCCAACCAAGTATCATAATCTAAATGAGAGTTCTATACAACTGTATATTATTTCTTATTTTTCATTCAGTAACTAGTAAGTGTGAACTGCTAATAGTTTTGCTTACAGAACACTTATGCTAGGCTCTGTTCTAAGCAGTTTGCGTCTATTAACTCTAATTCTCAGAACAACCCTGTGAGTTGGCTACAGTTATTCTCTGAATTTTGGCTGCAATTATTCTCTGCATTTTGCAAATGAGGAAGCTAAGGCACAGACATTTAATTGTCTTTCCCAATGTCACATAGCTAATGAGGAACAAGACTAGAAGTTGAGCCCATATAATCCAGCACCATATTCTGTGTTGCCTACAACTACTTTTCTCAACCTTAAAAATGTTTGTCACTTCTCTTGACCGCCAGGCTCTTCATAGGCTGATGATAGAAATATTAGCTTGGATTAGCATTAGAGCTTGTGTCCCAGTCACTTGATCTCCTTTATTGTGTCCTTGGCAAGTGACTTTCATTCTTGCCCTTGGAGCTGCAGCTGTGTTCCTGGTTTTCAATCCACCAGTCTCTCTTCCCACATTAAAACCAAGATCCAGTTTGCTTTTAGTAGAGATGTTTATGTTCTGATTAGGATCTTTTTGTAGTAATTAATGCACTATATTTTTGATTGTGTCTGTGCTCCTTTTCCCCTTGTCTTCTTGTATTAAGTTATATCTTGCTTCTCCAACTTTTTCCACTCAACCTGTCAGTTTTAGTAGTGAAAGTAGAACCTAACTTACATCAAATGCATTAAAAATACATTTCTTTAGAATTTTAATGAGGACAACTGATAAATAATTCACTCCAGCATTTTTGAAATATATCTTGTGAAACACTGGTACTCTGAGAGGTTCTGAGGTTTTAACTCCTTATTTAAATTAGGAGCATAAATGAGAGTTTACATATTTAATCCTCATATAAATTATGATTGTTTTTCCCACATGTTTTTCTTAAGTTCATAAGACTTCATAAGTTATATGGCCCTTGTTCTTTGCTGTTTCCTAGTGGTTTGTCATTTAGATCTTTAATGTAGCATGGCACAGTGGAAAGAGTAGACACTAATATTTAGAAAGGTTCTGTAGCCAAGTAGGTCAGGAATGGCTGTGGCTATACTGTTTTTTAATGATTGATTTAATGCAAATTAACACTTGAAAGGCCCTTAGCAACCCTGCAACACCAACAAGAAGAAAGTTTTTCTAACTTTATTCTATTTCTAAAAGTTACTGGGAATGGAAAATAAAATACAAGGAAGAAGCATAAAGTTCCATTTCATTATACTATCCAGACTTGATCTTTATTGAGATAATGCTGTTGTGTAAATTTTTTCAACTATATGTGATATACATACATATGTATATAAGCATATGTAAACATTTTTATAAACAAAATTTGGGCTAATTTTATAATCTGCTTTTTTCATTTAGCCTTCTTAAATTAATTTACTCATGTTATTAACAGTCTTCAAAACTGACTTTTCTGTTTTGTCTTATAAAACTTAATCACGCTTGCTGAAAAATTATGCAAATATATAGTGTAGAAAGGACTAGTCTCACATAATCACTCTCCCACCCAAATAGCCAGCTTTGACAGTTTAGTGCTTATTCTTCTAGACTTTTCCACTTACATGTTTACCTATGAATTCCCTTTGTTCTCTTAGGCACAAACAGAATGTATATACATACCTGTATATACATTTAATTTTATATAGAAGTGGTGTTTGAAATGTATATTTTACATTTAATATTATCTTAGACTTTCAAAATCGTGAGTTTGAATGATTATAATATTTTATCATACTAAAAAATGTTTTTCGCCAGTATTTTTCCATTATGAAACCATGTTAAGTTGAACATCTATAAGTTATGATCACTTTTTTTTTTTGCAGTACTTGGAATCAAACCTAGGGCCTCATGTGCTAGGCAAGCACTCTACCACTGAGCTGCATCCTTGGCCCATGATCACATCTTTGATTTCATCCTAAAGAAATGATCACAAATGTGGAATTACAGGGTCAAGAATCGCAGGTGTGAAGTTTTTGATCTGTATTGGCAAATCCTTCCAGAAGGGATTTGTCATTTTATGCCTCTCAGCACTTTAGGAGCATGTCTTCCTCACCAAACTTGTAACAATTGAGCAAGATAATTTAAAGTAATTTCTGTCAATTGAGAGATTAAGAAAAGTCATGTCATTGTTATCTTCATTTGCATTTCATTGACTGCCTGGGAAAGTAAATCTTTTTCCTCTTTTGTGTTTGTTAACCATTCATCTTTTGTTTTAGTTTTGGTTTGGTTGCCACTTGGAGTAGTTAACTTTACAATTTTAAATAGTGGACAAAATCCTTTTTTTTTTTTGATTTATCGATTTTTGGCACAATCGATAGAGTCCACCATGAAAATGAGAAATTGGCACAGGAAGAAGTGCACTTCTGTACTCTGTACTTGCTCATTTATGTGTTATTATATACTGTGTGCATTTATACTCTATTCTGTAATGGTGAGCCTTCCATGCTTTCTCAATAGGTTGATTTTATGTAGAAAGTCAAAACCAGTAGCTATACTAACATTATTATTATTGTGGAATCAAAGCATATGATTGGACTTATAGAAGGAAATAGAGCCCTAATCAGAAAATCTGTGCTGCTGCAGTGTCTCTAAATTTCTTTTGATATTTCTTTACTACTTTTAAGTTCACTCTCAGCTACTGCTAGTTCTTGAATCTTGCATCATTTTATTTTGTTTTGCTTTGACATCTTTCTTTTGTTTTATTTCCCTGGCATCCTTCTAGAGTAAACTTTTTCATGTGAGAACATGGGTGGTGAACTTTTTGGGTCCCTGTTTGGCCATTCTTGAGAGCTTATTTGGAGGTTCTAGCAGGGGAGCGCAGCTACTCGTATACCCTTGACCGAAGAACGGTCCTCCTCTATCGGAGATGGTCGTCCTCTTCAACTGAGCGTGCAGCTTTGGGAGGGACACACATGGAGCGGTAAGGGAGGAAGGGGACACCCACTTAACCAGCCAGATCAGCCGAATCAACCCTGGTGATCAATGGGGTGACAGATGTCATAGCAAGATCGTCCTCACATCCTGGCCATTCTTGTATAGAACTGAATGACTGGATTCTCACTTATTTCTTGTGGATCTTGTTTGTGGGTAGATCTTTTCCCCCAAGAGGCTCATATCTCAAATGGCAGGCTGACTGTAAGCTCTGTTCCAGTGTTCAGAGTGCATGAATAGACCAGTTTCCATATGGGTGGAGAGCCAATAGCTGGCAAACAACTGTGAGAACCCCCTGCAGTTGTCAAAGTTAGTTGGGCCTGGCTCTTGTGAATTTTACTCCTGAGTGAAGCCACCTTTCTTGCCTTCATCCTGTTCTATTCCCTGCCACCCATGCCATGACCTCTTCTGGGAAGTGAAATTACCCCAAGCTTTCTTCTACTTTTTCTCAGACTTTCAGCCACTTCAATGCCCTCCTTAGGCAGATGACCCCTTTCTTTTGTAGAG